CCCTGGCTGAGCCCCCCGGTATCCCCGGCTGAACCCCCCGGTACCCCGGCCGAGCCCCCGAGCTCACCAGCGCCGAGGGCGGCTCTTTGACGGCCGCCAGCAGCCGCGACAGCTCCCGGGACAGGATCCTGCAGGCGGCCCAGTCCGGGCGGCGGAGCGGGGCCGGTGCCGGTGCCGGTGCCGCGGGAGGCGGCAGCAGCAGAGCCAGGAGGAGGCAGAGGCGGCGGAGCGGAGCCATCGCAGGTCGGTCTGTGCCGCCACCGGCGCCGCCACCGGGCTCTTATGGGGCGGCGGCAGGTGGGGAATCCCGGGGCAGGTGGCTCCCGCCCCTGCGAAATCGCCGCCGCCTCCCCTCGAAAGCAGAACCGATACCGGGCCGGGGTCCCCGGGCTGAGCCCCGCCGCACCGGGACGGGCTGGGATGGGATGGGACGGGCAGGAAAACCCGGGGCAGTTCCTGACGGGATGGGAGGCACCGGCAGCGGCACCGGCACCGACATCCACACCCACCGGCACCGGGGCTCCCCCTCGCTCCACCTGGGCTGCCCCGGTGAGAGCCCCGCGGCGGGGTCACCTCGGTGGATCCCCGGCGTGTCCAAGCCGGTGTTGTGCGGGTGTCCCCTCGCTGTCCCCTCGCTGTTCCCTCGCTGTCCCCTCGGTCACCGGGCCGTGCAATCCCGGCGGCTCCGGTCCCCGGCGCTTCCCGCTCCGCCCGCCGGGGCTGCCCCCGGCCTTCCCCGGGCACCGCGGGCACCGGGGGCACCGGGGAACGGGGATGGCACCGGGCGGGGACACTGCCGGGAGTTTGGGACACTCGGGGATCTCGTGGGGCACTCAGGGACACCGTGGGGACACCGAGGGGACACCGAGGGGACACCGAGGGGACACCGAGGGGACACCGAGGGACACCGAGGGACATTGAGGGACACGGAGGGGACACCATGGGACAGTGAGTGACCCCACTGGACACTGAGGGACACTGAGGGACACTGAGGGACACCGAGGGACATTGAGGGACACCGTGGGACATTGAGGGACACCGAGCACTGGACACTGAGGGACACTGAGGGACACTGAGGGGACCCCATAGGACACTGAGGGACACCGTGGGACATTGAGGGACATTGTGGGATGCCAGGGGAGTGCAAGGGACACTGAGGAACATTTGGCACTCACTGGAACTCAGTGAGGTGCCGGGGGACCCCGTGGGACACTGAGGGACACTGAGGGACCCCGCGGGACACTGTGGGGCATTTGAGGACACTTTAGGATCCTGTGGCGTGCCAATGTCACTTTGGGACCCCGTGGGGCACCGCGGGACCCCTTTGGGCGTGGTGGGACCCCGTGGGGTGGCAGAGGACACCGTGGGACCTCGTGGGGCACCGATGGACACCGTGAAATGCCAGGACATTGGGGACGCTGGGACATTTTGGGGACACTTTGGGATTCCGGGGACCCCGTGGGACACTGCGGGATGGCAGAGGAGAGCAAGGGACGCTGAAGGGGATCTGGGGACACTTTGGAACCCCATGGGACATTGTGGGACCCCAGTGCACGCTGTGGAATGCCAAGGGACACTTGGGGACACTTGGGGACCCCGAGGGGTGCCAGAGGACGCTGCGCGACACCCGCGGGCACCGTGGATGCCGCGGGCTGCTCTGTGACATCCGTTGGACACCGGAGGCTCTCGTAGGGTGCTGCGTGACACCCGTGGGACCCTACAGGCCGCACGTGTCACCAGTGCCACCTCTCAGGGGTCTGAGAGGGGCCCGGGGGTCCCGGGACTCCCCCCGGGGCGGCCCCGCCGCGAAACCAGCCGATTTCACACTTTTTGACCCGTGCGGCGCCCCGTCCCGCCGCGCCGCTTAGTCCCGCCCCCCTCGGGCGCTGATTGGCTGGCTCCCAGCGCTCGGCGCTGCCATTGGTCGGCGGCCCGGGGCGGGCCCGGTTTACCGGGCAGGGGGCGCGGTTGCCGTAGCGACGGCGGGAGCGGCCCCGGCCCCGGCCCGGCCGCGGCGGCGCAGCGGGACGAGCCCGGCAGCGCGGCCCTGGCGCGGCTCTGCCCGCGGCGGCTCGGTAACGGCGCGCGCGGCGGCTTGTGGGTGGCGGCTCCGGGCTCGGTGGGAGCGGCCGCTCGGGCCGGGCCCCCCGCGCCCCGCCCGGCCCCGCCTGGGACTGCGGCCGCTGATACCGCCGATCCCGCCGGCGCGTTCGGTGTGGGGCAGCGGTGATAAAGGCGGCGGGTGCGGAGCTGGCCCGAAGCCCCGGGGGCGGGCCGGGGCCCGGTTTGGCTCCACGGGAGGGTGCCCGGTGCCCAGGGACCCCTGCCCGGTGCACAGGGACACTGCCCGGTGCCCAGGGACCCCTGCCCGGTGCACAGGGACACTGCCCGGTGCACAGGGACACTGCCCGGTGCCCTGCGACCCCTGCCCGGTGCCCAGGGACCACTGCCCGCTTTCCCTGGAGTTTGCTCCGTGCTCCGGGACCGCTTCCCGGTATCCCCGGGAGGCTCCCTGGTATCTTGGGCTGCCTCCCGCTTCCCCTGGATGCTTCCCGGTGCCCTGTGACCCCTTCCCGGTACCCTGAGACCCGTTCCCGGTGCCCTGCAACCCGTTCCCGGTGCCCTGAGACCCCTTCCCGGTGCCCTGAGACCCCTTCCCGGTACCCTGCGACCCCTTCCCGGTACCCTGAGACCCCTTCCCGGT